TATAAGCCATAAAATTTGAAAAATTATCGTTGATTTTCATTTTCGCCATTTTTTCGGGAAACCCCTCGTGAATTTTGAAGGACATGCTCTGCAGAAGAACACCATCGAAGTAATGACTTTATGATGATGTTATTTTGAAGGTACATTTTAGGTACAATTATTATCAGCCATAAAAATTTAAAAAATATCTTTGAGTTTTATTTTGGCTAGTTGACCGGCAAATTGAAGTACCCCGAAATTTGAACCTCAAATATTAGCCAAACGAGTAAGGTACAATTAAAAATAAATTGCGGTACAATTAAGTACATTTTTGGTACAATTATTTAAACCTAGTCCCCAGTTTCGACTTTCACATGTGCGGACATTCGAATATACATCCTCCAATTCTCCTAATGAGGCGATCGAGATTTCTCAAGTGGCCAATGATAATCCGAACAACAACGTCGAAGGGTCTATAAATGAAATAGATGCCCAGCAGACGACGCCAATGCTTGAAAATGTACAAACTACTGAAAATTCGCAAAATGAATCCAGAAATGATGAAAGTTTCGAAACGATTTCTCTGTCGGATGATGATAACGAAGACGACGTTATATCTCTTTCAGATGACAGCGAAAGTGAGAACGAAATTGAATTGCTTGACACAATAGTTGATGATGTAAATAATTGTCAAGCAGGGGCACACATCAAAACACACCAAGTTCTTATGATGGTATGTACCGAGATAGCGGAGTTTATGATAATATTGTGAAATCCTCATTATTTTCAGTTTCAACCCGAATTGGTTACCGTTGAAATTCCAAGCGATACAGAGCAAGAAGAACCAGAAAACCCCACAACAGTAAGTGTTTGACATATCGATATTTAAAATTAATATTTATTTAATGCTTATTTGTTATTGTTAGGCCAAACAAGTGTCTCAAGGTGAAAACAGTGAAGTATTTGAGGAAAAATCGGAAGAAAACATAATGCCAGGTGCCATATGGCCGCCAGAAGTGAGTATAAATATCGGTTTTAGTCTTAGACAACTAGAAATATTCAAAGATCCAGAAAAATATAGTTGATATATTAAAACTCACTACCCCATTGATCGATAAAAATTATCTTTTCTTTCAATTAAAACAAAGGTTCGCCATACATTACTGGAATGTAGTCACGATTATTTCGTGGACGAAATCACTTTTGAGAAGCCAAAAGTACAGGATGTTTCCATGGAACTAAGTTAACTTATTCAACAAAAATAACAAACACTACTTTTAAATTATTTCATATTTACAATTTATCAAAAAAAATATTTGATTTTTACATTTTTAAATACAATACTTTTTTAATAAATATGTCTCAAATTGTTTTCTATTTTTATTTTTATTTTTTAAATGAAGGTTTTGCTAATTTTTTACTAATGTTATTTATTTGGTTTTTCTTTTCTTTTCAGATCAATTGAAGTAGGCGAGTTTATGAAATACAGTAGAAATGCTATAGTTACAAATACAAAAAAGATATAAATTATAAATAATTAGTGAAAGTGATTTGAAAGACAGTAGATTAATAGAGAGAGAGAGAAAGAAAAAAAAAGAAAGAAAGAAAAAGAAAGAAAGAAAAAAATGTTGTCTATTGTAAGTAACAAAAGAAAAATTTCAATTTTCTTTAAATATATTTTAAAAAAATATTCATTTGTTGTTTGAAGGATGTATCGGAAGAGAGTGATGGAAGTGACTCAAGTTATGAAAGCGACCTGATTGATTTGCATGCATTCGGAAAAATAACGCAATGGAAATTTCCGAATGTAACTTATTGTCCCATGAGCAGATGCCGTTTATTGTTCGGTGTGCGTTCCGACGCAATTCTTCACTACAAAAAGCGTCACACCAACCATTCAGTTTATTGTCACATATGCGACAAACCAATTTCTACCTATAGTAAAAGAGATTTTAAAAAGCATTACCAGCGACTTCATCCAAAGGAACAATGTCCGTATGATTCCCTTCAACCGGGCAAAACATCAAAATTGAAGGTAAGTCGAAATCCCCACTGACAATGAATTCGTTTAAATTTATTGTCTTATTTGTATTTGAATAGGAAACAACCGATTTGAATACCAACGAAATTGTAGAAGAAGATATACCCGAAGAGATAAGCACTGACCAAATAGATGATATGGTAAGCTAATTGTGTCTCAAACAAAAATAACCATCAATAAAAATTGTGATATGAATTTGTGACAGGCAAACGATGCAAACGATGAGACGAGCAAAGTTGATGGTTCGAAGAAGTTTCTGTGTCCTTTGAAAATGTGTAATTATGCATCGGATCAATCGGTTCAAATACAACAGCATTGGAGCCAAGAACATTATTATTTACGATTCCCAGAAATTCGAAGCGGCATCGAAATTACTGACGAAACTACATTGCCGAATACAAACGAAGAAGTTGTATGAAAATTACTTAAAATTTTCCAAGTGTTGCTATTTATTTAATGGAAAATCTTTATATCTTCTACAGCAAAGGCAGTTTGATTCAGATGATAGTTTACTGGTGCCACTGCACGCTTGCGAAGAATCGACAACTGGACAATCGGTTTTTAAATGCCACGAATGCAAGCGCGTGTTCCGCAGTGGTGCTGGTTTGAAAAAGCACGAAATGGTGAAGCATAATATACATTCAACCCGGTCGGCGAAAAAAGTAAGTTTTTTATATATTCGCGAAGTTCCCTAATTTCATAAAATATTCGTTTAAATTAGAACCCAAAGCGTAAGCACCAAAGCGAAGATCCCATCAAATTTGACACAGGCGTATCACGTGAGAATCAGATTAAAAAAGAACAGGTAAGCATATTATTTCTTATGTTTTCGCTGTTTGTAATTATTTTTAAAAAATACATTAGATGTCAGAGCCAGAGCACTCAGACGCAGATGACGAAAATATGACGCTTGCCGAATTAATGAAAAATAATGCTCACCTGACAAAATGCCGCATTATTTTAGAGAAAGTGGAACCCACCGATCTTCAAGTGAATCCAATCGAAATGCTAGATGAAGATCAGCCTCAAGCCATGGAACAAGAAGATACTTTGGATATGCAACCATTGGATTTAACGCTTCCGAAGCGAAAGGAATCTTATGCTGAGCCAATGAATATCGTCCACCTATCTGATACCGATGATGAAACGGTTATACTTTCTGATGACACCGACAATGAAGACGAAAATCAAAATCTCAACATGGGACACATCATCGAGGATTCCACCTATGTAATTGTACATTTTATAAGTTTCCTTGCATATTGGAAATACTAATAGTCGTGTTTATGCTTTGATTATAGGAAGTCTCAAGTGATACCGAATGAATCGAGAAGCCAAACAAAGCCCTTGCGACAAAGAAACATTTAGACAATTTTTGATATAAATGACACGCATTTTTTCATTTTAAAAGCGATTTTGATCCCAAATATTATTACTAGATCATTCCATGTATAACTTGATTGCGATGATTGCATAATAAATCATATTCGTATTATTTGAGTTTAAATCTTGTCATGATATTTTACGAATTGTTATCTTTGATGGTTTCAGACTGACCCTAATATGATATGTACGAAAGGTAAATGATCATACTATCAAAAAAAGCGTATTTTACGTGTATAAACTGTCAAAAGCGGTTACATTTAACCGAAGCGCCGTCTATCGGACCATAAAACATAAATCACCAATACATTTGAGTGTGCACTTTTTCGGCATCGCTTGTTCTCGCTATGATGCGAATGCGTGAATATTGACGAGTACTAAAATTGACAACATCATTATTTAACTTGCTTTCACTCTCACTAGTATTTTCCTCTTCTTACGAAAAAATAAACTCAAAAATGGAAGCATTTAGCGAAAACAATCCGCAACAAATCGCAGAAGCGGAAACAGAGACAATGTCAACTGTAAATATTTGCTTATAAAAAAAACTTTTTTTCCCAATAATTTTTTATTTATTCTTCCCACACAGACATTGACAGATGAACAAGATCATGAAACTGATTTGATTGCACTTAGTGGATACGGTCTTGAAATAGTCTGGCAATATCCCATGAATATAACTCATTGCGTTGTGCCAAATTGCAAAATAGTATATGAAACGCGATCACAAGCAATAAACCATTACCGAGAGCGACATGCGCCATTTTCAATCCTTTGTCCAGAGTGCAATCGACCGATATCAAAACAAAAATCTAATTTTATCGGTCATTATGAAAAAATGCATCCGAATGTAAAAGTACCATATTTTGTTGATAGAACGAAGCAAAATGTAAGGCAAAATTTTTAGGTTAAATTATTCAATTCATAAGAATTATATTTCTCTCATTCCAATTAGATTAGAAAAGTGTCGAAAAGTGATCCAACGAATGCTATTGATGTCGATGATTTGATCGAACTGAAGGGATTTGGTGTAATTACCAAATGGCACTATCCAGACATAAATAATTGTGCCGTTAATGGTTGTGGTTTGGCATTTGGACATCGTTCCTTAGCTATTGACCATTATCGAAAATGCCACGCCGATAATTTCATTCTTTGTTCAATTTGTAAGCCTAATAAGCCCATTTCCACACACAATGCCTTGCCCCATTACAAAAGATCACATCCAGATGCGGAAATTCCATGGATTCAGAGTGAAAAAGTTATAAATGTTCCAAGCGAACGAACAAAGGTAGGTTCTTATCGATAAAAATCAACAATCTAACCGCATTTAAATGCTTGTTTCAGGTCAACGAATTGAATTTGGTAGAAAATAACCAGAAGAGAATTTATATTGACGAAGATGATATAATCCCACTTGTTGCACGTGGAATTGAAACGTATTGGTCATTTCCAAAAAGCACTGGTAACATCTGTCCAATTGGGGTATGCAAATTAAAATGTGCATCTCGCGAAGATGCGATAAACCACTTCAAAGACCAACATGCCAATCATTCAGTTCTTTGTTCTATTTGTGACAAACCAATTTCTGTCCGGAGTAACGCAGATTATAAGTTGCATTATCAACGATTACATCCAAATAAAAGAGTTCCGCATAGAATCGGAAACTTAAAGAGACAAGCGGTAATATTTAAAACAAAAACGAAATCAAAAAATGTCCCCTGAATCGTCAATTAATTGTAATTATGATTTTCAAAAGAATGTCGGAAGAAAAAGGCAAGAAATCCAGCATAAATTTTGCCCATGGAAAGAATGCTCATTTAAAGCGGCCAGTATAGGCGAAGTAAGTGATCACTGGGAAAGAGTACATCGCGTGCAAGGAACCGATTCATGTTCAATGGAACAGCACAGCAGTCATTCAAGCCAAACGGTGAGATTTTAGAGAAATCAAAAAGAATATAATGAAAATTGAGTGTGTTTTACAGATTGATGATGAAACGCCTGAATCATCTGTTGAGCAAAGTAAAAGTCTGCCAGATGATGGTTTATTGATGTCAATTCAGACGAGAACTGAACCTGAAGGTTCGAACAATCAAGCGAATTTATATTTCAACTGCTTGAAGTGCAGCCATTCATTTGAAAGCATAGTTAATTTGCGCGAACACATAATGGAAATGCACAGTACTCAATCAATTGAATTGGTACGATTAAAATGGAATATTTTTTATTCAATTGCATTTTTATTGAATAATTTAACGTTTTTCAGACAAAGAGAAAACGAGACACTTCTACCAATACCAACAAATCGCTCGATTCAGCGAATGTTACCAAGAAACGTAAATTGGTATGTGATTAATTTACATTAAAATTTACGTAAATTTCATATGAGCAAATCGGTTTGATTTACGAAATAGGTTTGCGATTCTCCGATTGAGATATCTGACCATTCCATAATTGTCAATAAAAATGATGACGGTGAAGGTAGTACGGGGTGTGAAATGGTCTTCAGAGAGATTGAATCTACAAACAAAAACGGGGATGTACAAATGGATTCAGAACCATTTGAAAATGAAATGGAAGTTGAATATGCGACACCAGTGATTGAAAATCTACCGAATAATAGCATAATATGTCTATCTGATGGAGATAACGAAGATGAGACTACCAATCTTTCGGATTTTGAGAGGGGCGTCGTCAGTAATTCAACGTTTGTGCCAGTAGACAACAGTCATCTCAAAACACACGTCAAAACTATGCAAGTGCTTATGATGGTATGTATGACGTATAGTAGAAATTTTCGATTATAATATTTTTACAACAATGAAATTACAGTATCAACCCAAAGTGGCTACTGTTGAAATACCAAGAGACAACGGAACTGAATCTTCAGAAGACCAAACAAACGTTAGTAACGATCACATAGTGAGATCAATTGATATTTATTGATATGCTTATTTACTTTTGTCAGGTAGAACAAGCAGCTCAATCTAAGAACCATGAAGTATTTGGGGATGAATCGCAGGAGAACGCAGTGCAACGGCTTTACACAGATATTGTGAGTATACATTTTTGTATTTTTTTTTTTTAAATATTGACTCAATCAGGAAGCTTTCATAATCACTCTCACAGCAATGAAATCCCTACTACCGTGCTAAATGGTGTCGACACGAGTGACGGATTTTTAAATTTATTTGAACGACGCCATGTTACTATACTTGTCCATTACAACGTACATGTAACAGAAGAAACACACAGTGCATGTCTACGCTAGTGGACATAAACGATTTGAACCGTCAATGTGAACTAGATCAAGTATAGAACTTTACATACGATCATACACGATGAATATGGATTACACAGTCTGTTTCAAAATACCGTCACCAATGTCGACACCATTTGACATCAAAATTTTGACAGTAAAATTATGTGTTATTGTTGTTGTCCTTTCATTGCTGTGATCACTCTGTAGTATCTTATTTCGAATTTTTCCCAACGATAACATTTCAGAGAACGGTCGGTCTTATATAGTCTCTTTTTAATTTTCTTTTCTTTCAGCAACGCACTGACGTGAATTGGGAGGCTTTATTGGAATATGCCAAACATTTCCTAAATGATGACATGGCCCTCAAAGATCTACAAATACAAAACTTTTCTGAATATTTGAAGTAATTATTTTACTATAAAACGAAAAAAACTGAAAAAATGTCAATATTACTACAAAAAAAAAAACTGTTATCTTATTAATTTATTATCAAGTCTGTGTTAAATATTTATTATATAAATGATTTCATAAATATATTTCCAATGATATGTCCACATTGCGATCGCAAGCATATTCTGTTTTAATGTCCATTTTTGTAGAGATAAAATAGGAGATTTTCGCTAAAAAGAAGAAAGTTCGGAGACATATAACGCTCAAGGATCTGAAAATTTATTTAAAATGGCGTCTTCAAAAAAAAGTGTGTTTTGTGTTTTGAATTCAAATGCTCATGTATAAGTTGTCACATTTAGCGCCGTCTATCGGTTTACATAATACAGATTACCTATACAACTACGTGTGCGGTATTTCAACGCCGATTGTTTTATTGAACGTATCAGAATATTTACGATTGACATTTACAAACACACATACACACATTTCAAACGCTTTCAACTTCGATTTGCTCTCAGTCTATTCTTGTTTTTTAAACAAATTCCAATGAATTGGAAATTGCCAGACAATCATTTCAGTGAATGTTGAATATTTTGTCGGGTATTGATTATTACTAATTCAGCATCGGGTAAATTGAATATCGAACCGAACAGTAAAATGTGTGACGTGGTCGTATCGTCAGAGGTAAGTGATGAAAAATCAATGTGTATTTCGTCATTAAATTGTAAAATTGATGCAGGAAGACAGCAGTGACACCACAGATGATGATTTTGATGTCTTCATCACATTGGGGCGCTCTTACAAGCCAATGGAGAAAACCAGATGGAAATTTCCAAATACAAAAATGTGCCCAATTTGTCAAATCTCTTGTTCATCACGCCTGGCCGCTATTAAACACTTTCGACTTTCACACGCAAAAACATCAATAATGTGCACTATATGTAACACTCTCTTCCATAAGTCATCCGATCTGATGGTTCACTATTATTTTCGGCATCCAAATACAACGCCGCCAAAGCTAACACACGTGACCGACGTAAGTACGACTAAATGTTGAGTTTGATTTTGATAAATATTTTTCCACTGGAAAATGAATTATTTTTTCTCAAATTAAAAAGCAGAGTGTAAATGATGTCAACGAAAATGTTGAAAAAGAAAAAGAGATAGAGATGATTGACGAAGAGAACGATTTTGACGATCTGATCACATTGAATAGTAACGGAATAGAAACACAATGGCGGTTTCCACCAAACATGAACTATTGCCCGGTTTTAAACTGCCGCATACAATTTGGTATTCGATATGATGCAGTACAGCATTATAAAAAAAGGCATGCAAATCAAGCAATTCTCTGCAATATTTGCAATAAACCGATCAGCACGAAGAGTACCTACGAATTCAAAAAACATTATTCCAAGTTGCATCCAAATACTGATCTGCCTTATGGACTGACTGAACTACCTCCTAAGCCGTGTGGCTTGTCCAACAAAAAGAAAAAGGTATATTATTGAAAAATCGTACTTAATACAGAATATGAGATTGAAAAGTGTTTCAAATTTACAGGTCAAGGTTGCAGTGAAAAATAAGAATTGTAAGCCAGCGCAAACAGATGATGCAAAAAGAAATTCGAAGGAAACTGTTTCAATCAATTCGACTGAAACATCGAAAAAAGTAAGTCTTGAAGTCTTTGGTTAATTTTATCAAAATTATTTTATTTCGTTCGTTTTTAAGAAGACGCACACAATCAAAGCACAGTCTCAAAAACGTTGGGAAAATCATCAGCATCAAGATGCTCATTTTATTGATGGGATTCAGTGTCCATTAAAGGCATGTAACTTTGAAGCAAATCAACTGACCGACATACGTAGTCATTGGAACGAAGCACACGGCGAATATGACTTCCCAGAAATTCGAACTGGTATCGTATTCACTTACAGAACCATACAAAATGACAACCCAGAAAATGTGCGTTTTTTTATTTTACTGGATTTGCATATCATTTTCTCATAACTATACTTTTCGTAACTTACAGTTTGAATCAAATGCATCATCGATAGCAATGTCACCAGAGGTTTCTGCACGAAACCAAAATACTACTCAATCACTTTCAAATCAACATGAAACGTCAAAAGATGCTTCACATCAGAATGTATCAAAATCTAGCTCAGATTTATTGACGCCACTAAGGATGGAATCTGATGACCAATTTTCCAGCGATTCCAATGGAATATTCAAGTGCACCGATTGTAGGTATACTTCGAAGTTTGTGTTCGCTTTAAAGAAGCATCGGCAAAACAAACACCAGGTAATTTTTTAATTTTATGCATTATTCGATTTAATGAAAACCTTCGAATAAAACTGAACTATTCATAGGGGCCGAAAAAGACAAAAACGAAGAAAGAGTCGCCATATCCAAGAATCAGTAGTAGCAGTGACACTGATAATGAACGCACCAACAAAGATCGCGAATTCAAGAGGCGACGATTGGTAATTAAAAATTGCTATTTCTTTCGGTTTGATTAAATTTTCATTGAGTTTCATTCTTCTAGATCAAAAAGCATGCTCGAAGCATAAATAAGCGCAACAATATCATTAACAAGTTGAAGTACCGAAATCCTTTCAATAAAGATAATTGGAACCAATCGCCGATTGGTCTACGAATGGTAAAGGCAGAACCTTTGAACGAGCTACGTCCTCCAAATATAGTCAATGTCATATCAACGCGACAAAGTGAAAATGAAACAGACACCGATAAAAGACGACGCATGAGCAGCAACTGAATTTCAATTTTTCACAGTTGATCATGAATGGTTATGGAACAATAGTTCGCATTTTGAATTTGAACAAAGATTTATCATTGAAGAATGAAGAAATTATATTTAAGAAAAAAATGAAGAAAAATTTATGAATCATTGCCAATCAGAATTAGAATATAGATTATTTGAACATTTAAACATAAAATTTGTATTTGAAGAAAAATGTATGAAATTTACAAGATTTGAAATCAAAATAAATAAAACAGAAAATATCAACCAAATTAATGATCTTAATTCAACTAGAGATGCAGTGTGTATTCAAATTGGAATGAGTCTGAAGTTGGTTAACGGCAATAACATTAGTCGTATAAGCGACTCTGATTGTGTGCGTGATAAGTTGCGGCAGCAACATTTCATGCTGTATTCTTTGTATTGGTGCTCAAAACAACAGCGACAGCGAGACAAGCAAACATTTGTGTGCGATAAACAAATACATAATTTGTTTGGAGAATAGAGTGTGTACACTGCAAAGTATTCAAAGCCTTGAAAAATATCGCTAACGATTTATTATAGTTCCTGTTTTCTTCTTGTGAACACAGCACGTGTTTATTTGGAGCACACCAAACGATTGATTTGTACATTTGACATTTTATAAAGCGCGGACGAACAGTACATTTGTGCACCAAAATGAGCAGCGATGTCGAAATACCTTTAGTAAGTATTCTTTTTGAAAATTATAGAATTTTAATACAATTTTGCTGGGTTGTAAAAAACAGAGTTTGGCGAACGGTGAATCGGAAAATGAGTTGATAACTTTGGGCGAGCTCACTGACTATGAAAGCACCAAATGGCGATTCCCAGAGACATTGCATTGTCCGGTTCGGTCTTGCTCTATGTGGTTTGACACAAGAGCAGCGGCCATCAAACATTATAGAGAATCACATGCAAAACACAGTGTTTTGTGTAAAATATGCAATTATCCATTGTACCTATTAACAGCTCCACATCATTTACAAGGACATTATGTTCGAAAACATCCAACAGTGGAGCCACCGGCAAAAGTGAAAACACTACGGGTAATTCAATACGATTCCCCAAATTTTCTATTTCATTATTACACGGTTATAACAAAATTTGTATTTTTATTAGCATGAATGTTCGGTGTGTCATCTCAGCTACAAGACCTACGCCTACTTGAGCACGCACATGGATAAAGTTCACAAAAATCGAACAAAGAAGAAAAATACATTCAAAGGATTCGAAGATTTACCAAAAGCATCCACAATACAGGATATATTATCGGTATAAGTGATAATTGCTAATTTTGTGTCCAAATCAAGCCATTTTATGTTTGTTCGCACGTTTTTTTTTCTCATACAGGAACGATCGGAATCAGGGTCTGAATGGGAAGACATTGAATCGGTAAGAGTTTTGTATGCATTTGAAACATGGTTAGTAAATCAATTGCGTCTTGTTTTTATTCCAGGAAAAAACATCATCTTCCCTTGATGAAAGTAAGGCGATTGATAATGACATTTCCGACCAAGATATAACGGTGAATTCATCGGACCAAAAGGTTGCATCAAAAAAATCGGACAAATTGAGTTCGTTGAGAAAGTTGATGGCGCGAAAGGACCGTTCATTCAATCATCGGCACAGAGTGAGTAACACCACTGCATTCTACTTTTGAAACCAAATCATTGGGAAAAAATTCTTTTATCGATTAAGGCACGATCGTGTACGATTTGCGGCAGAAGCCTGAAAAACTACGTGCTTGCTTGCAATCATTATCGATTGATGCACGGAAGAACGTGTTCGATGTGTCCATTTTGCAAGAACTATTACCTCAATTCGTCAGCGTTGATTCAACACATGATCAAATATCATCCATTTGAAAGTGATAGCACCCAAAAAACTGGAAAGGTAAATCATTTTTACAGGATTTAATTGATTTATGTAATTTAACCTGTACCAATGATTTAAGTTATCGAAGCGAACACGGACGAAAAAAGCCAGTGTCCAGAAAGAAAACCAACAAGTTTGGCAGGAAACCGGTGACACAACGCAGACGGTACCTGATAATGCGGGTTTAGATCACGATGAATTGACTACAGCCACTATGCCAAATGAGCAGACTGATGAGGTACAATTTTTCACAATCGTTAAATTTTAGCGATGGACTTATTATGTTATTTTTTTTTTCAAGGAGTCACCTGAAAATGACGATGTTGTTGTAAATGATATAATAACATTGGGTGAATTGACAGAGTATCCAAAAATGTCATGGAAATTCCCCGAAATTAAATCGTGTCCGAGAACAAATTGTAAGCAAAAATTTGAAACTCGCGGCGAAGCAATAAATCATTATCGTGAAAATCACTCGCAATACGACGTATTATGCCAAGTGTGCAACATATTAGTATCGTTATCTGGCAGTCATAATCTGATGAATCATTATAAACGTAAGCATCCAGATGCTGAAATGCCAGCGAAGTCGAATGAGAAAAAAGTGGTAACGCAATAACATTATTTTGTTCTAATTCCCCACTAAATTCCGGATTTGTCTCATTTCCCTGCATGCAGATTACTTGTCAAATGTGCCAAAAAGTATTGTCATTCCCCCAGTATCGAATTCACATGAACACAAAACACCGGAACGAAAATGCCTTGCCAAATCAAACAAAAAAGAGCGATCGCCTTTCAAAGCGCAAAGCTTCTCTCAATTTGCAAGAGCTAAACAAAGATGAATCAAAGGCAAGTGAAAACAACATTGTGCGTTATATAGACTAAAATCATTTCTTTCCATTAACAGGAGCCAAAGTCTGTAAGAACCTCAATTAGAAGTAAATCAATATCCCACTTGGCATATCATCGAGCATTGGTTAGTGTTGTATTGCATCTTAAATTGTGATGAAATTTAGAATACTTTTCTATTGAATTTAAAATAGGCGCCGACTGAATCAGTTGCCGAAGATAATCAGCACCAGGAACAACCTGAAAATGATCAAAATGATACATTGACGGTGGAACCACAAAACTCACCAAATGATCGATCAAAAAATGATAAACCACAAGATGAACAAAACAATGACGAAATACCGACGAAGACAATGTCACCGATTCCCGAATCGAATGGTGAACAACCAGCAAAACAAAATACTCGATCAACTGGCGTTCGGAATAAAGTAATGAATTTTCTGATGATCAAATATGTTGACAGTTGAGCTTATTTATTCTATTTCGAACACAGGCTTGCACCATTTGCGGAATCGTGCTTCAGAGCTACGTTGTTGCGTGTGATCATTATCGGAGAATACATGGCCGAAATGTCCTAATGTGTCCTTACTGTGAGAGTTTCTTCTTGCAGTCAAATGTGTTGACCAAACATGTTTTGGCAGTACACTCCAGCAATAATGGCCTAGCAGAAGTGGTAAATAGATAGAAAAAAACATATTTTGATTGAAAATAACATAACAGCACTCTTTCTTCTCAAGGTAAAAAGGGAAAATCGAGACGATAGCCAGACGACAAACATTGAATACAACACCATAACAGAATCATGCGAATCGGAAACAGTCAACACGACTTCTATGCCACCGAAATATCCAATCGAATTCAAACAAACAATTCAAACATACGATGAACCACTTAACTTGATCATTCCGAAAATTCAGAGACAGACCTTCTATTCGGAAGACATTGTAATCGATCTATCGACTGGTGCTTTAGATTTGAGCATAAAGAAATAAAAATAGTTTAAGTGGACTCTGGAAATAGTAATAAGAAAATGACACAATAATAATTTTTTTTATTTTGGAGCGCCAAGTGCAACAAATGCACTTACACATTGAATTCTCGCTTCCAAAATTAATTTTTATTCATGAATTTGAATATGGATAATTTATACGAAAATGAACTAAATTTTGAATGTAAAATAGATCAATCTGCATAACCTAATATGTTAACTGTGTTACATCGACAGACATTGCAAAAAATAAATGTCAATTATTGAAAAAAAATTCAAGACTTTTGAAAACATAAACAAATACAAAAAACAATTAAATTTAATAAAATTCCATATCATTGTGACCATTAACAGATACTCAATAAAATTTCGTTTTGAAAATTTCGTTTTAAAAAGTTGTTTTAATGAAAATTTGTGCAAAAAATCGTTCTTGTTGTTTTAATGTTCTGTATGAAGTTGGCTGTCATAAATTTCATCATATTAGCCGGAACGTGTCATTGCATACTCGTTAACTGTCAAAGCATATCATTCTGCAAATTCGCCGAGTAAATACAGGGTTTTATTTTCACTAGAAGGCATGCTTCAAAGGGTAAGACGATTTAAAGCTAATGAATCTATTAATTTTTTGTGCATCTTGATTATTGTTGTGTGCTATTTTCAGTTGTTACGATTATTAACCAAATCGAACTGGTGTTTAATCTGTGGTGTCTATTTTCCAAATAAATTGACTTTACGAAATCACATTCTCAACGTTCACAGCATGGGTATATTTTGCTGTAAAATCTATGGATGCAAAAGATGTTGCTGCACCATGGGCGATCTTCGAATGCATTATTTGATAAAACATCCAGAAGTAAAGCCCAACGCATTACCGGTAAATAAACACACATAGAATTTGGGAATTCAAAATCATATCTCCTTCTCAATTAGTACCATAGGTTCTCATTACCGACTGTTATCAACCTTGATAAAGATAAAAAAGTCAAGTCACCATACTCAACGTCAACATCGGAGCCAAAGCCATCGACATCAAAATGTAATGCATCAACATCAGTTCCTCGGATAAATTCACAAATCACATCGAGGCTACCTCCCAAAAAGAGACGCATCTATTCGATGACGAACTTCACGGAGACAAACACAGTATCACAACCATCACCATCAACATCAGCATCACTAACACCACCACCAACACCGCCACCGCTTCCGCCACCGCTTCCGCCACCGCTTCCGCCACCACCTTCTTCTCCTCAAAGTACAGCCGTCCTTAAATCGATGAAAGAGCTGAAAGGAAAAGATCCCAAATGCAATTCATGCTCGCTCTCGTTCGCGACCGATATCGGTATAAAAATGCATTATCGATATCATCATTATTTATCATATTCTCGACACCTTCAGAAGGTATTCTTTTGTCTCGCAAATGTGTTTTTGCATTAAAAATTTATTTTTATGATATTCGTCGCAGATGAGTGACATTAGAAGACCAGACGAATTGGAATATATTTTGGAAATGTGCAATAGCGTTACACCTAATAATCCAAGTGGATCAACCCCAGAGAATGTGCCATCTACATCACGTAACGACAATGCAATACAGCAGCTACAACAACCTCCAATGAATGTGGTTAGTTTGATTATTTTTATTGAAAATGAAAAATATCCAATTACATTAATTGTATTTTATTTAGACTGAAACATTACAACCACAACCACAAACATCCGGTGAAAGTTCTAAGAATTTATCGAAACAAGAAGTAGACAAAGATGACCAGAATCAGCAAGAAAAAAAGTAGAATTTCCATTCTTTTATTATAAATTCACGAACGAATCTATATTCAAATCAGACAGTTCAAGTTCAACGCATATGATTCAAGACAAATGCTACATAGGGTACACTTTTCATAATTTTTCGAGCGCATTCAATTTCACATAAAAAATTGTACAAATTTCATAATGTTTTAAATTAAGTTGATAAAGCTCTTACATTCTCATAGCATAAAACAAGACATAATCTCTGAAGTATTAAAAAAATGAAAGAACAACTAAAATTCGCATATATTTGACATAAGTATAAAAATATATCAACTCATACCAACATACATATAATTTGTCGATGAAAGAGAAAATATTCAACCACCCTAGGATGACGGGAAAGTACTCGCACAAAACATTGTTCAAAGTCATCAAAAAGGCAAATAATGTACATAAGAAAGATTATAATCGAAAGACTTTGTTTCAAGAGACTTCAAAAATCCATTGCATAAATATAAGTTTGAAATGAAGTGGTTTTACATATTTTACCTGTCAGATGTTTTGCTTTCATCACGTTTGCATCGATGTATATCCATATTTTGAGAATTCATCCAATTTCCAAATTCAAAAAAGAAAATTGCATCACAGTTAAATAAAAATGTTAGTTTGACATGAAAAATAAATAAATCTAGTTGAATGTCCAATTATTGTTGTGAAAGAACGAACTGCAATTCGATTTACATTAGCCATATATACTAATATAGAGCCAGAGGAGAGGGAGAAAGCAAAATACTAAATTGCATTTTCAGTGTTGTAAACTGTGCTTTGAGTTGATCTCGTTACGTATTTCCTTAATATCATTATTGTGCATGGGAATAGTAACACTTGTATTTTCATTTCATGTATTTGTATGCGTGCATGTATGTCTCTGTACACGAATGTGGTTGATTTTATGTATTAGCACAAACGGGTGTTTTGTATTCCCAGCATACAGCCGAACTCAATTTCAAATTCTATTTAGAAAATTGTTTGTTTTCACGAACTGTATCTTTTTCTTTTTCGATTCCAAAATATTTTCAAGTCTGAAAAAGTATAAAAATTATTCTTACAGCTTGCGTGTCTTTATTCCTCTCGTGTGGACTGTTTCTTCCTAGAATGTGGCCGTTATGCAAAGACATCGTAAAACTAAAAGAAATTTCATTAAAAAAATGCTCTTTATTTATCTTTTACCATATTAACATTCTTCACTTTAATTATTTTGGAGCAGTTTTATTTAATTTAATCGAACATCATTTACGAAATGAATTATTTTTCTCAAAAAAAAGAAATAAGTATCTGACTGTCTGTGTCATTCATCGCCAGATATTTTCTTTGAAATAAAGACGAATATTTCTCTTGATAAAACTATTTTCGAAAATCCATATATTCAAAAAAAAAAGCAAAAAAGTGGTTCTACTTGGCAATGCAAGTGGCGGTGACACGGTATTGAATTGAAATAAAAAGTAAAATAAAAATAGAAAATGGTTACCCTTGGTTCCATGACAAACGCAATGTGTTCTGTAAATTGTACAAACAATGGATCCGTTTCTCTCTCTAAATATTGTCTCCGTTTTTTCTTTGTTTTGTTCGTTTTTCAATTTTTTATTATATATATTTGTTTGGATGGGAATTCATTTTGTTGGATTGATTTGATTATATCGAAGGCAAATTGGCCGTCATTCGACGCGCTGTTTTGGCAATTGTTTTACTTGAGAGGGTGATATTGTTGCGTCCTATTAAAGAATTCATATGATGGAGGCAAAGAAAGATGATGTGTGTGTGAGAGAGAGGAAGCATTTATTCTCTATGGGCCAACTAAATCTAAGCCAATTCTCTTGCTGATTACCACTTGTATGTCCCATTCCAATTTTCACGGCAATCAACTTCAATATCCAAAAATCATATGTTGAAATTTATCAATATTCGTGAACCGTCTTTCATCGCACCAATAAAAAAGTATAATTTTTCCACTGAGATAATATAATTTTCGGCTTCCGGACACATTCGGCTCGGCTATCGATTCATAAACGATATAATTTTTTTTTATTGCAAGCATCATCGGCATCACTACCGATCACTACATACGTAACAATTTTATCCGATTTAATATTGGAATGCATCTCTGGTCGGCAATTTTGCTGCATGTTTGAACGTATTTGAATGCATTCAATATTCATTTATGCTTGGCAATAACGAAAGTTTATATTTTATCTCAAACGTATATATAAGTATTTTGATTGTTGGTTTCAGGAAACGAAGGGATAAAACTTTATTTCAAGCCATTGCTGCGGAGGACATACGAATACCAGAACGACCATTTATGCTACGAATTTTTTTTTCCTCCATATATTTCATATATCACTTCATGGTGCATGCAAATATACTAAGCCTCTTGCGTATAGATTGGCGCGTTTTGTGTGTGTGTGTGTGTGGAATGTGTAAAACATTTGTACATATTGCGGCTTCTAATTTCCCTTGAGGTATAAATAGAACATAAAATGTTTTTACTCTTGAATTATCGATCCTGTCTCTTTATCCAGGCTTTTTTCACTCTCTCTGTCTCTCGTGATTTTTGGTAGACTCGTACGAATGCGATGTGGGAATGGGAAGTGCGTTTTGAACGCAAAACAATTGTCTCTTTGAAAATACGTCTATGGGTTTATAAGCGCATCGAAATTCATTTGTGTGTTTTTTTTATAACAATTTTGCTCGTGTATCAATTGAGTGTCGAATGTTGTTTGAACACACAACACATGTACACATGGGCCCGATTGTTTGATTGTGTTCTGTATTTTCCAACCTGATACAAAATATTTGTCTCGTCTCGAGCCCCGTATACATTACTCCCCCATACATACATACACAATTCGGTGATGCTGTACATGAACTAATATAGAATGAAAGCAATAAATCTATGACACCATGTTGTGGAATACATGTACATAATACTTTTTCAAAAGAGAAAAAAAATTTGGAGAGAGATCATTGCCGGAAAATCAAACATTGGGTCAATCAGTCGTAAAAATGGTGATGCAACAATGAAATTTATCACACCTTCTCTCATCCAAAAATACAAAAACATGATAGAGAAATGAAAAAACATCGGCATACGAATCTACCGTTCAATACATAGTATTTTCCACCGCTACTACTACTGCACATAGCACAAAATTCACGCTAACATGGCCCATTCATTTGCGATGTACCATTATTCATTGCCGATACTGGTGACCATAAAACCGTCGACGAAGATTTCAAACTGTTCCCTTGAATTGAACGAAAACACACACATATACCGAATCGCGTCGAGTTCAGTTTTTCAGTTAGGAAAATTTTTGTGGAGTTCATAAAATCAGAGAAAAAAGACCGTAAACAACGTATACCATGCATAAAAAAAAAGAATGCTCATTTTAACACGCGGGGCGTTAGTTATGGTTCTTTTTTACAACCCAAACGATGGCCGAAACGAGTAACTGTACAAGATCGTAAAATATATCAACAAAGGTTAAACTCGGGAACATTTGCAATTGGTTACATACTTTCAGTTTCGGTGAACAAAGGAGTGAGTTGAACACGATGCTTATCTCTGCACTACAACGAGTCCTTTAAACTGCATAAAATCATAAAATAAACAACCCAACCGCCGACTAATCAACAAAGTTTGCGATTGTTGTTTATTAACACCTAAATATTTAATTTGCCATTCTCGACGGCAAACTGAAATGTGTTTATTTGCAATGAAAAACAAAAAAAAATCACTTTAAAATTTAGCAATTGGTTTTTTTTTGCTTCTAGTGAGGTTAGCAATAATGTTAGCGTCAAGTGACCGAATTGAATTTGCGTTTCGGTATGAACTTTTACTATGAACATTTTTTTCCAAGATTAACTTGTATCATCTCCAGAGACTTGAACTACGCGCCGTGCTAGACACTGCGTATTCATTATGCATATTATCATTTATGTCAAAGTCGTTTATAAAAAACGAATTGCATGATTTACGAGTGCGCGTGAGATGGGCCAAACAAAATAATAATGATTTAATCAATGGAAAATTCATATTCTCACCCATGGTGTTTATTTAACAATGTAATTTATTAAAATGTATGATGCAGATTGCTGCTGACTACTGCACACGAATAATTGCACGCGCCTATATAAACGGCTTGGTTGTTTGAGTGCACAAATTGACATTGATGTAGATGGTGGTGGGTGGTTTATGGCAAATAAAATTTCACTAGCCAACGACAACAACAAAAAAAAAACAACAATGACAAATTTATGTTAATACAATTCTTGTCTGGAATTGACTGTTCGCTCAATGTTTCGCTTAATTCTCTCAGTTAATCTGAAAACATGCAGTTTTTTGTCACGAATTTAAATGACTGTACATGTTTGTCAAAAATTGAAAATGTGTTCGCATTAAAGTGAGTGTCGTGTAATGTTAACCACTTCTTGTTTAAAACACACAAAAAATACAATTTTCGTGTTCAATGTGAATATAAAAAATTGTCACCATCCACCGATGAATCGAATCGAATCGATTGCTGGCATAAATGCATAAAACCCGATTGGGTAGTCATGAATTTGCAGCCAGCAAAATTGACAGCACCACATTTTTCCCAATGATTTTGTTAATTAATAACGCGCACCGCGCACATATGCATTCATCGTTAACATCGGCTTGTCTCAAGTGCATTGCAAGTGCATTCATCGATTGCATATTTCAATTGAAAACCACAAATTCGGCATTTCAAATTTTACACCGCCTATCACTATCAAACAATTCGGATTACAACATTCGGTTGATTGTCATTTTCTCTCATTAACCGAATGAGAATAGTGACAGAGAGATAGAGAGAGAATGGAACAACACCCGTCGCGGCCTGTTGAATGAATGACACTTTAACAAGTGCTGCTTCATGGTTTTTCGATTATTATTTTTTTTTTCGAAAGAATTTCGCCCGTTCGTTGGTGATAAAGCCAACGACATGTTGAAACGTTTCCATCTCGAAAATCACTCGTAAAATCACAGATCAAAGAGTTACTTAAACAAGCACCACCGTATTTGTAATGACGAACCATTGACTGTTGTCTTTTTTTCTGCGCGCACATTGCCTTTTTATTATAATGCTAAAAAACTGCCTCGAGTGAAAATTCATATGTCGAATTTAGCCGAAAAGAGGAGAAAAGGACAAAAAAAAACTTCGTTTTTCGCAACGGCTTTTCATACAAACGGTGCGAAATACACTTCAAAGTTCAGTGCTTTGCACTTAAAATACTCTGAGCTGACGTCAAAATGCAACCGCTTCCAATCTTCTCTCTATGTCGCTATATCTTCCTTTTTTGCCTTTCTCAAGAGAGAAAAATCTTTTGTTTTACATACATACACCTGCAAAATATAATCAATGATATGACGAAAAAAACGGTTTTCAAGTGAGACAAATAATGATGGAAAAAAAGTAAAAAAAAACAATTTTTGAAGATGATGAAAGAAGAAATGCATACAATC